AATTACCAGTTAGAATTGCATCACGTTGCAGGGACCAAATTAGCCGCCCCCGATGCCCTGTCTCGCCGCCCGGACCATTCACTCGGGAAAGATGATAACGAAAATCGCGTCCTCCTCCCTGATACCATGTTCGTACGACTGATTGACAATGATTTGTCAGCAAGTATTGCACGCAACTCCGCCGAAGACCCCGTGTACCAGAAAGCCCTAGAAGCATTGGACGGCGTGTGCCTTCCCCCAATGAAATCCGCCCTCTCCGACTGGACGTGCACCAATGGCGTCCTCTTTTATAAAAATAGAGCTTACGTGCCTGCAGCCCAACGGCATGATGTGTTATCTAAACACCATGATCATCCCACGGCGGGACATCCCGGCCGATTCAAAACGGAGGAACTCGTCAAACGGGATTTCTGGTGGCCAGCCATGGGAACTTATATCCGTAAATATGTCAACGGATGCGCTTTATGTCAGCAGATGAAAGCTGACACACACCCGGTTACCCCGCCGTTGCGCCCGATCCCCTCCGTCGCCACTCGCCCCTTCTCCCAAGTCTCTGTCGACCTTATCACCGACCTACCCGTATCGGGCGGTTTTGATTCTATCATGATCGTGGTAGACCATGGGCTTACGAAGGGGGTAATTATTTCACCATGCAACAAAAACATCACCTCCGAAGGAGTAGCCAAACTATTTCTCAAAAACGTGTTCAAAAGATTCGGTCTCCACGAAAAAGTAATCTCAGATAGAGGACCGCAGTTCATTTCGAAATTCTCTCGAGAACTTGCCCGGCTCCTCGGATATCAGATTGCCGCATCAACCGCCTACCACCCTCAGACAGACGGACAGACAGAACGACTCAACCAGGAACTAGAAACCTACCTACGGATCTACTGCAGAAGCAATCCGTTAGAATGGTCCAATCATCTTCCTATCGCCGAATTCGTCCATAACCATCGGAAGCATGATGCCAGAAACACATCCCCCTTCTTCCTCATGATGGGTTATGAACCACGAGGAATCCCACACATCTTATCAGTATCAGACATGCCGGCAGCAGAAGAAAGACTTAGGAACCTCCAAAAGATACGAGAAGAAGCTCTCGCCTGTCATAACATCGCTATGCAGCGAATGGCAGAAAGGTCTCGCCATGAAAAGTACCGACCATGGAAGACGGGAGATAAGGTATGGCTCTCGGCCACCAATCTCCTGACATCATTACCATCTAGGAAACTTGCGCCCAAGAGATACGGACCATTCCTTATCACCGCGGTCTTATCTCCCATCACGTTCACCCTGAAACTCCCAGAACAATGGAAGGTCCACCCCACGTTCCACGCTTCTGAACTATCCTCCTATCGCGAAACAGAGATACACGGGCCGAACTACGCCGAACCACCACCTGACGTTATCAATGGCGAAGAAGAATACGAAGTAGAAGCTATTCTTAGCCATAAAGGCACGGGTAAACGAAGACGCTATCTGGTATCATGGATAGGCTACTCCTCCGGAAGCAACGAATGGATACCCGAGGAAAACTTGCGGAGTTCGAAAGAACTCTTAAGCACGTATAAGAAGAGACACAAGTTGAACTGAACGAATCATTCTCTCTCCCACAAACAAATCCCAAGTAACATGACTCCACCATTGACACCTTCTCCTACCGGATCGTCATCATCCTCGCACTCCCTCGGAAACTCATCGTACAAAAAGAACATCCTTAACCTAGACGACGACGCCATCGTTGAGACCACTTTGTTATCCCTTCCCCACGCAGTTGAGCTCGAGAAACAGCTCGCTGAAGCACCCGCGTCCGCTGCCGCCCCCGTCATATCCCAGATCCACATCATACGCGCCACCGCCGCCCTTGAACTTAGGTTCAAAGAAATTGAAAACGATGCCCTCAGACTCGCCTGCCAGCACCTCCAGAGACAAATACGCAGCCTTGAGATTCAGCTGCTTCCTTCTGCTTTTAGCACTATCTGCAAGTCAGTTATACGGACTGTTGAAGAACGAAACCAGACCGAAGTTGGTCGCCCGCCAAGCCCTTCTACTAGCGCTCCCCCCAGTGACATACCTGCTGCAGTTACGGCTGGAGAGCAGACTCAGCCTACTGCTCAACCGACACCAGTTGAAGAACCACTCCCCATCCCCGAACCCACCGTCGTCTTCAAACGAAAGACCCGTAGAGGAGCTACCGTGCACGGAGTGTCGAAGACTAGAGCTTCTAAGGGAAAGAAGCGTGAAGTCATTGACCTCACCGAAACCCCCGACGTCATCACTGTAAAACAACCCCAGTTCTCCACAGACAATTTCGTCTGTCGCGTTTGCAAGAAACTCGGGCACCGTCATAAGAACTGCCCCGAATACTACTGCCGCGTATGCCAGGCCCAGAAACCCGGCCATCTTTCCATCTATTGCCCTTACGCGGCGAAGAAAGAACTATTCCCATTGGCTTATACCGATGAAGGCTTCTATGAAGCACTAGCGGCATGGGAGGCCAGGAAAGATGAGGAACTTCAGGAAGAAATAGAAAGGGCAAACCGGGATTACGCCACCAGGTATAATGAACCAGAGTTCTACAACACTGACGCGGATCCCATCCACTACGACTACATGAACGAATACTGCGACACCGAAGAATAATTGAAGTCGGAGACTTCAACCGTAACAGGGGGGTAATGTTACAATAACATTTAGAGAGGCCCCTATACTCATTTTCCTTTTACCTCTTAAACGGGCCGTCCGTACCACGCTTATCTCTTATCATGCCTATCTCTTATCCTGACTCTTATCTCGCCAAGCGGGCTGTCCGCCTCTTCTTTGCTTCTATCTTGATAACACATTTACAAGCTCCGCTTGAACACTGGTATATAAACCTACCTACCTACAGTTGTATTCTCTACTTTAATCTACTGGGTTTTACCTGGAACATTGTCCTTCAGTAAGGTCTCCAACCTTACTGTCTAAGAACCACTATTCTAAGGGAGTCAGCAACACTCGCCTTAGCCAGAACCCTTGATCTCTCAATCGAGAGCAGACTCACGTCTATCTGGCATTCTGCCGATTGTCTACTCAGACAGAGATAGCTCGACTCATCTCAGTCATAACATCCAGCGATACGAGGTACGCTCGTCCCGCTGGTAGTACCAAGGAGGCGTGCAGTAACTTGCCGTATAGTTGCTGGACCTCTTGCAGGGTGTGCGTTCGTTGTGCCTCCCATTTGAGGATGGCAGCCAGATATTTTTCTTTCTTCTTGTCCGGAATTGATATGGTGCGCGCCGAAAGGTCCCAGAGGAAACCAATGAATGGTGCACATGGTGAGAAGAGAATGTCCTTTGCGAGCTCCCATGGGATGCCCAGCAGCTTGGATAGACGGTCGATGTCTTCGAAAGAGTAAGTGAATAAGGCATCCTCAGGAGAACGAGGCAAGGAGGACGACAAGTCCAGTACCGGAAAGGATAAGTCTTCGTCAAATTCCTCCACTCGTCCATCTGGCATGACGGATCCTTTGTACCATTTTCTGCCCCCATCCACCAGTAACCCTCCGTTTCTCGCGATGATGGATGCACGAGCCTCGCGAAGGTTGTTGTAGCTGTTGAGATGCTTACGGAGAATGCGTATGAACAAATGATCGTCGACCCACTTTGAAATTGGGCCAACACCCTGAGAACGAAAAATGTCCGCCCCTGCGTCTGCCACCTCACCATAAGTCCCGGCGGAGGCGGTGAAGCCGAAGCAAAAACTAGAATCAATGGCGAAGTCGTCGAGTCCCGTTCTGACGACCAGTCCCGGCCATTGGGATGGATGGAGTGGGATCGTGCGGTAAGCTTCAGCGACGTCACGAACTGCGGCTTGGGAACCTGGAGGAAGGGACCACACCAGAAGGCAAATGGTGGCAGCGGTACCCCACGTGCATGGATATAGATCAGAGTCAATAGATGAATTAATAGATGATATAGTTGGGGATGGGTGTAAGGGGAATGATAGATTTTGGACCACGCGGAATCTGCCTGGCTTACCCGGTTTCGGAACCATAGATAGCGGTGCTGATTGAAACGGTCCAATAAGAATTTCGGTTTCTGATTTTGATAGCGGGCCGATGTATCGACCGGTGGAAAATTCACGATGGAGTATGGTTGCAAAAGCAGAATGATGTTCAATGAGAGAAGGACTATTAGAAGGAGTGTAAGTGATAGAAATGGGAGGGACGCTCCCCATGAAACCAAACCGTAAGCCGTTGGGGATGTGCGCGTATTTATGCAGGAGGTTCGTGGACTTAAGATACCAGAGCCATGCCTCTGGGTTATATGGTGTGAGTGCCTTGGACTTTCTCTCCCTGAGGGCAATCTTGAGCGCCGTGATCCTTGGCACCGCATCCTGAACACTCGTGAACGTGAGATTGGGAGCTGCTTGAGCAACCCCTGGGCCTTTGCCAATCGTAGCATAGTTTGCGCCCTTTGGGATTGGTGATGTGACCTTCGGCGTTGCGACAGCAGCGAGCTTTGGTTCGCTTGTCCCAAAGGAATTCGGACGTGCATTTGTGAATGTTGTGACGGAATCGACCAAGGCATAGAGCACAGGCAGCTGGTCCGGACTGACCTGTGCTCGACGGAAAAGACTGCTGGTTATTCGATGACTTCTTGCTGGGCTGGCCGGTCGCAGGTGTGCGATATGGGTGGTAGCGATTGTCTGAGGTAGGAGGAGAAGGCTCTTTTCCTCTGTTTGAGTTTGCTTCACAACCATAGGACCGAGCATGAGCGTTCGGTGCAGCAATGGAATTCTGCAGCTGGTGAATGTTGAAATCGGGTAGCGAGATGTGCGAGAGAGGGCAGCAGCAGTGGAAGCGAGCAGCGTGATAAGCAGGTTTGTTGACGGCGGAGAAGCCAGGAGCAAGAAGATCCCAAAGGATAGCGTAATGGACGGCAGCGTGGAAGAAGGAAGCAAGCGTGGTGATGGGTACACGTAGATGGGAGCATGGAAGAAACGAATGCATAAATCTGTTAGTCACGGAATGATGACTTTGCAGGAGGATATACCAATTTAATGCTCTCATCACGTTCTGCTTCCCAGACGTCATCCGAGAGGGTGTTGTATAGAGCGCTGTTGAAAATCCCGATGTTGAAGCCTTGGTTCTGAGACAGACGGTCATGCCATTCCCGTCTGACGAACCCTGCATAACGAAGTAAGGTCTTCTCGCCGCGAGTGCGCATTTGATGCTCGTGGTTGGTAATGAGAGTGAAGAAAAGCGCTAAGGCTTGCTGGTGCTTGTCTGGCCAGCCGCATTTGTCAATATGGATAAGGAAGCTCGTCTTTGCCATGTCGAATTGATGCCAAGAAAGGTCATGGTCTTGTAATGCTTTCTGCGATGCCTTGAATGATGCCATCGGCTTGAACGCGACGTACCCATCAACCTTTGCCAGGCCAAAGGAATCCTCAGCCGTGGATCTACAACTGTCTAACGCTTCCCGGCACCCTTCTGGACTAAAGTACCACAGCTCAACATACTCCATGCTCTTGATCTTCTGCAGCGCATACTGCGAAGGGCGAGGAATGAGAACATCTGCCACGACGGCTTCAGCATCGAAGTCGTTGATTTTTGGCTTCTTCTTCTCTGCTTCCCGTTGTTCTTCGGCCGCTTCGATTTCCTTTGCGGTGCGTTCTTGTTCTTCTTGTTCTCGCTGAACTCGAAGATCTTCGTCAGATTGCTGCTGCCATAGAACAATACGTTCTTGGTGCTCCAGTCTCCAACTCTCTGCCATTTTCTCAAGGGCCGCCTCTCTGGTAGGTCCTCCTGTGATGATAGCATTGAGCCAAGCCGCGTATGCTGGGAACTCGAAGTTCGGCTGCACTTCGAGCGCCGGGTCGGCCAGTATGCGATTCATGTGAGACCGGTGCAAGTTGGAATGTTGCTTGGATTAGTTTATCTGTAAATACGACGACCTAAGTGAAAGTAGAAATCAATAGCTGATGATAAAAGAAAAGAGAAGGATGAGATACGAAGTCGTCGAGGACGACTGGGCTGAAAACACGAGGACGTCGCAGTACGAAAGGAAGAGTTCGTACTGCATCCGTCGCTTGCGCAAAGACTACACTCTATTCCTCCGCTCGTTCCTCGTTACGTAATAGAGTAATCAATATAAGTACACCCAATTACATAAGACAAAGTGTAAGTATGCCTTAGCTAGTACACTTGTGCACATGATTGCCTTCTAATTCTCTGCTGGAACTTTGCGGACCACGATATGGCAAACGTCGCTAAATGCCTCAAGCTTCAAGGCTATCGGATCAGACAATTCCCGCACCTCAACTATTGACGAAAGTTCCATTACCTGGAACATTGCCGCAGTCATCCACCATGTCCACACAAATTAACTACAGATGGCCCAACCTCGTGAATTATCAGATTGAGCCATTCTTAGCTTCAATGACCAGTCTACCAATGTTCGCATTCGAGGTGCGAAAATGTTACGGGTCCAAGATGTATTTAACCTCTGTCTTAACCTTGTCTGGGTACTCCATGTTCATCCAGGATCTATTTTTGCTGGTCTCTCATCTTTTTTACTCTACTTGAGCAAACGCGACTTGGATGTGAACATCCGGACTACCACACCCTTCTTGCAACAATGATGCAGATTCTATGAGACATTATCATGAATGACTGGTGCAAGGAGTGCGGGCACAATTTGTTAGCTGCTTTTGCTTTCTCAGAACAACCTTCTTGGGATTGCAAACAAGATTCTTGTCACACATGATACGACCGTCCACGAGTCTTCCGAGACGAAACGAACCAATGAACCTTCACTTATGATACATTCTACAGGTGCATACCATCATTATAGGCGATCCTGCGCTTGTCATATACTTCGCCTCTGGGACGATTATCAAATCATGTGACGCAGCCTGAGCTTTTCGGTCCACATAGTGCGTATCTAGATCTTGTCGGACGTCGTTGAAACGATCAATGTCGAAAGTTGGAGTTGGGAACTGTACGGTTCGGGACCTAGGTGTGTTTTAATAAGGTCCATCGTGCGCATATATATTATAATCGTAGTACAGGCCCGTCTTCGGTGATTCAATATTCAGCAGGGGCAAAAGTTACTGACATTACAAGGCCGCGCCGTGAACAGATCAACGACTTCCTTGATGGTATTACTTTTGCATCCTTCAAGCAACACGTCTTATATATCTACAGACATGAATTCCTAGTTGAACCAAAACCACGTACGCCAACTCTATAATTGGACTTGATGCACGTTGATTAACTTGACCAATCACTAGTAATTTGCACGTCCCATACTGCATCGATGTGACAGAAGAAATATGACTCACTTTGCAGTGAAATTGGTTCTTCCATGCAGGTGAGTCGTGTATCGAATCTAGGAAAACTATTGATACTCACGCAAACCCCGAAAAAACATTCCCAGCATTGGTCGTCTCTCGTGCAAGACGAAGGACATTGATCGGTACCCGCATTAATGGGCGTGGCAGAGATTGATGATGTCAAAACAGCGGCAACGGCGAAGACAATTGCAGAGGAGGAACGCATTGTGTCTGAGATGGTATGGGATCAAATAAATATGAAGGGTTAAGAGGAGGATACCTTACCTTTATATACTGAATAACGTTCATTATGGTTTTAGGAAGAACTTATCCACTGGAATTCCGTTACTGGCCTTGCGTCAAGCGATTATCCAAGCTTTGAATATCTTCTGAAGCAAAGCAACGCCCAAAACAGTCCTAACTTGTGAAATAATAATATACGAAGTTGCAATCTTCTTGCGTGGCTGTGCCACATTCGGCCACATAATATCTGCAATGCCAGCAGACTGCGAAGCAAGGTCTTTTGGCAATTTGATGTGGATCCTCCACTGATGAATGTAAGTTGTTCCTGGTACCCCTATACTACATCATGATTGAAACAAGGACATCTCGATCCCAGAATATCCGCCCCTCCGACCTCATCCAAACATTTAAAATTCATCTGAGCCAGCAGTCATGCACCACACATATATTATATTAAATTCGATATTAGAATAAAATGATGTATTACTGAAGCTCGCTGTATCCTACAGGTCCTCGCTGAGCCTGCCACATTGGTAACCATGACCAGGGCAGGGCAGTGCATTACCGCTGGTTCTCATCAACTTTACCATGGCCGGTGGGTTTTGCAATACACAGCATCTTGGTAACAACTTCCTGACAAGTAATCACAACTACAGTGTTACAATCGTGTCTTCGGCATTTTCCAAGTTCGAAGGGAGAATGATAGAGATATGACAGAGAGATAAGAGAAATGTAAACTCTGAGTATAAAGGAAAAAACAACTTTGACGTAGAGGGATATATCCGCATGTCTCGGAAGAGCTTTCACGAGGATGACTTGCGTCTTGGTTGGCGCATAGAGGATATCATATCCTTATGATAAGCAGTATTGATCGTGAACCTGCCATGCAGGTGAGTCATGTCATCAAATCTAGGAAAAATACTGATACTCACGCACGCCTGCCAAGGGCAGCATGCTGAATCACGCTCGCAAGTTAGGGGACAAAATTGGCCAGCATCAACGGGCATGGCACAGATTGATGATGCCAAAGCCACAGCAACGACGGCAAGGGCGATTGCAGAGGAGAAATGCATTGTTTGTGACTCGATCAGATAATTCAGGAGGAAATGGTAGAAAGACGGCTGGCTTTTATGTGCTGAATCAAGAGGTACCCCCGCTGGGGAAAAAATGCACATGAGGCCACTACTGCACGTATTGCAGAATCAATTTACCTCGGGAGCATCATTCAAACCGCGGCCGACACATTCAAATGAAACTATCGGAAATGGAATCACCCGCGGTGATAGAATAACGTTGAAATAAGACAGTACACATTGATTGCAGCTTTCGGAACTGCATTAGACCATTTTTCAGAATTCCTATTAGAAACGACACTACTCTTGACTTGAAGTGAGCTAAGGCGTGCTCCTGAGGGATGTCGATGAGGATTAATCTTGATGGTCAGACGAGGTTTTGGTGCAGAAGGTGCGTCTTGGCTATAATATATAACCACTTCTATCAGACCGTGACAAACCTTGCGGACGATTACCAAGCGATAACAATTGAGCGCCGACAAATGTCTGTAGTATGTACTGATTCGGAGTATAGGAATGGGTCGAGTTCAAACGTTAACGTTTTGACGTTCATCGATGCATCATTGAAAGGCAGGTCGACCGGTCAGTGGTCACGATCACACCGCGGGAAAGAGTGACGCCTGTCCTGCCAGGGGCCTGGGCACCATTAGCAAAAACCATGGACCCGATTCGACCGTCTCGCCGACTCTCGAGTACCTTCCCCGCTTACATTGTGTTTGATATCCAAGGTATATTGGAGGATTTAAAAACGGTGCAAGTGTAAGCTGGCGAATTGCATGGAAAATACGAGCGAGCTGTAGCCAATAGCTGCTATAGGTGTGTTTTCAACTTTTATTTTTTTTACTCTTTGATTTCCATGTCACAGCGCACGTACAGTAACTTAACTTATGATGATATAATCTACAGGCGAACCGCTTGCTATCGTGTTGTAGCGCCTGGACAATCACAACCACTGCCTCGCCACGTAATTCAGAATTGGATCGAGGTGCTCGCAGCTCGTGGTGGGTATGGTAATTCATTTGCAGTACATCTCCGGATACACGGAATCCTCCCTCTAAAGAGTCGTTGTCGAAATGGGTGGGAAGTCACAAGCCAAAGTTGGTACTCGTATGGTATATATATACTATGTATGTTTGACAGCCATCTCGATAATGTGCGCACGTACTCACGAATGTTCATTTTACAGGTGCATAATAATATTAGTATAGGCAAATTTGCGCTTGTCATGTACGTGGCGTGTCGGGACGATCATCCCATCTTGCCGAGGAATCAATAGACTGGGATGTTCACGATGTGCTCGGTGAAGCAGTCTGAGCTTTTCCATCCACATAACGCCTATCTAGATCTTTTCGAACGTCGTTGAAACGATCAAAGCCGGAAGTCAGAGCAGGGGGCTCTATGGTACGGGATATAGGTGTGTTTTTGTTGGGTTCATCGTGCGTATATATACTTTTAATTGTACAATCTACAAGCCTGTCTATGTCACACTGACAGCATTAGGCTGCGCCGTGGACCGACCTGCACCCTCCTTTTGGTGTCGTTACACGTTTTATCTATGGACATTTCCTGATTGAACGAAAATTCCACGTCAACTCCACCATGCAAAGAGCTAGAAGCGACGCTTTCCTGATTCACATTGATCAACTCGGCCAATCAATTAATCACTAGTAATAGTAACTCGCGTGTCAGCGCCAGCGGTCGTACTGCGTCACTGTGAAAGCAGAAACATGCCTCGCATGGCAGAATGTAAGGATCTGCCATGTAGATTATCAAATCCGGGAGTACTGCTAATATTCACGCAAACCCAGGCTTCGGGCAGGTGTTGCATTGCGACTCAAATCAGCAAATGAAGTCAGCGTCAGCATGGATGGGTGTGGGAGAGCATTTGATTGTCAGGGTGTGATGCTTTGAAGGAGTTCAACACAATCACTGCGGAAACGAGAAATTAACCCGATAGGGTCGAGGTAGAAGTAGAAGTAGCAATGATAAACATAGCATAACTAGACGAGCGAATCACTGCAGCCGCTTGAAGTAGAAATCGTATTGCGGCGCCAGGGTTCTTGTATATATGAGAAAACCATTCGCCATCATTTCGGCAAGAATGTAGTTATCTCAGCGCTCAGCGATCACGGGAGGGCGGCATTCCTTAGTGTACTAGCAGGGATGGGGGAGTCCTTCCACCACGAGAGCGGGCTTCCATCCTAGTAGGTTGCACAGGTTCGTCAGGGCAGACCGCGATACTTCAAGTTGTTCAATGTACGTGATAGATCTCAAATATTGAACTACTAGCATAATTCATTCGAGCCATCTTCTGCATATGGCCAGCCACATAAGGGTGCAGTACAGAAACATGTGCAGGGGCCGCCTTCCTCCAACACGGTGATACGTTCGAAGCGGCAAGACTGGCTGCTTGTCCCTGTTAATCTCATTTCCTCAAAGGAAATGGTGCATTTCCATGACACGAAGCTGCAACTCGTGAACGAGGGAAATTCAAAGCAAAACGCAAATTGACGTGCTGTGATCCCCGTGTCCCCATATCCTTGTCTATACTCTACATGATCCTCATAGGTACACCACGACTCAGTCAGAAGGAGCGTCAAACTAGAAGTAAGACCAGAAACCTAAAAAGATGGAGGGGTGTGTCAGATTCGTGAGTAAACTCGCAACGAGGACCGGATTCATACTGAAAGTTAGCGACTTGATACGATAGATTCTCTGCTAGTAACTGTCCGATATCACAGGCTGACCATTTATGTAGAGTTAGTAAGCTGTCAGTAGACAGCCCCAAGCCAGTGCCACCATGTGAAAGCCTTGAAGCCGAAGATCAAGATGATTAGTGAAATGATATCTGCTGGAGGGAACAAGGCGACAAGTACCTGCTCTGGTGGCTACACACAGTGACAACATGAGCCTTCTCCTTCAGACGGTGAAGGATATCGGAAAAGCTTCTTTGCGCCAAAAGACCAATATCAGAAAGATCCACCAATGTCCAAATTCTGATAGATCCTTGATTACAAGTCCACTGTGAATACAACGAAAGTATAAGCAGGAAGATGCCGCGGTGCTTCTGCTGAACGACGCAAATACAACGTAATGCTGGGGTAATAAAGCAGTAGTACTGTATGGTAAAATGGTCCGATGGGTGAACGACTTATCCCAAAAATATCCTGAACGTCATGGATCTTACATAGCTGGAACCATTGTCAGGGTTACAAGCTCGGGGAGATATAAAAAGCAACTAGCAAGTGGGGGGCAGAAGAGCAAACTAGGCAAAACTTAATCATGTCGTTAGTGAAAGAGAATGTATCGATGAAAGAGACTTGCACTCACATTAACCAGCCAGCGATTATTTTCGGCGTTGTTGTTGCCACACTGCTAGGGGAACATCTTCCTCCTCGCCCCGCTCTGTGCGGAGCGGAAGTGCAGGTTCTGCATGTGCTCTTGGTCTTCTGTTGTGTGGTGTTGACATAACGGCATGAGCACTGGCTACCTTCCTGGTCTTTGCTTCAGCGGGGAGGGCTGGAGTAGCACCCGTAGTTGCAGTCGCAGATAATGAGCGTGTTGTAGCCCGTGTGGCTTGGACACGATTAGTGGCAGCGGGTGACGCATTCGCAGAGTATTTATTATGATTTTGGGCCGGTGGAGACCGCGAACGGCGTGCAGGAGCTTGCTGGGAAGTATTACTTGGGGCATGATTAGGAGGGGGTGATGGAGTTAATCGCGTGCGCGACAAGGGCGGAGTTCCAGGAGTGGATGGCGAAGTCCATGACTCAGTAGGCTGCATGGTGTCAAGTGGAAACTGTTGTTGATCTGCCGCCCCAGACCCCGAGTACCCGGGATACATGTAATTTGTTGATTGTGGTTGGACAATCTGGGGCGTATGAACTGGCGGATTTGACTGTCGCTGCATCCTTGGTGGACCGCCACCAAGTGGCGTCGGAGATGATGAACCATATCCGTAGCTGGATCCATTGTACTGCTGCTCCATTTCTCTATGCTGCATCTCGTATTGAGGACCCTTGATTGGCATTTCAGCGACCCTTCGAGCTCCTTGCGATCCGCTGGAGGGCTTTGTAAGAGCGCCTCTCCTTTGAGACTCCTTTTTCTGTGGTTGCTGCTGCTGAAGTTGAAGCTCTCTTTCACGCTCAATCTCCCTCTCTCTCTCAAGCCGCTCATTCTCAACCCTCTGCCTCTCTTCCGCTTCTCGACGTTCACTCTCCCTGTCTACCTGTTCATTTTCAGGATTGGACGCGGTCAGGGCGGTAGCAGCTGGTTGATTTTGTGCCACAGGAGTTGCCGCGGGGTTCTGTGTCTTGTTGATGACACCGAGATACCAGAACATCAGATTGCTGATGAGAACCTGCTCGTACAGCGGCCTTCGAGGATTTGCCAGCTTGATATGACTTAGTCTATAGATCGCGCGCTCTACGTGGATGGGATATCGAGCGTACACGCCTTGCCCGCCGGGCAGTTGTGGCGATGGCGAAGGAACATACTGTTTTGAAGATTTTGACTGGCCAAGTAAGGCAGTAGCAGCCTCCCGCCCAGACCCGTATGGATGCGGCTGAGATGCCTGCTCGTCTCCCTTTTTCTTGCTGCTGAACAAGGACCCGAAGAACCCGCTCTCCTTCTCCTTTTCCACTCGCTGCACTTCCTTCTCGCGTTCCCTATCCTTGCCGTTCTTCTTCCCGCCTTTGTCGCTGCCCCATTTAAACAGGCCCTTGCGGTCCTTCTCCTTCTTTGGCACAGGGCTTGGGGTTTTCTGTGGGAGGCTGGATGTCGATATAGCTTCGGTAGATGCCAAGGTAGATGTATCGGGGGATGGCGTTCGAGACGACTCTTCGGAAGGAGAGGTCAGAGTAAGTCTCTGTGGTTGAGGGTGATGTAAGACTATCGCATTGGTGGGAGTATCCGGGCTAGGTTCGGTTTGGGTCGGTGGGGGCTCGTCGCGTGCTGGAGAAAATGATAATAATGGGGGGTCGGAGTTTAGCGATAAGATTGAAGGAGCTTCACCATCAGGTACGTCACAGAGGTATGCTTCAAGGATGAGTGTTTCGTCTATGAGCACGTCAGTTTGTGAAGTATGGCCATCACTTGTAATGCTTTCGTTAGAAAGGGCACGAGGTCGTCTACCTGTTTCTGTGATATCACCGTGATCACTTGACGAGACGTGATCACTGGAAGACAGGTCACTGGAAGTACGTGGTTCTCCCTGTGCGGCAGCACGAGGCCTGCGTCCGGACCCAAACCGATGGCCACCACCATCACCAGGTAAGGTGGTCTTCCGGATCTTAGTGCGCGCAGCTCGACGAAGAATTAGGCCGGGAGGAGGAACGATGATAGGTGCATCGACCTCATCTGGCATGTCAGGAATATCGTCCATCCTGTCCATGGCTGAAGACAAGGCCTTGAGCAGATGCTAAGGACAACTGGAAGTTATTCTGCATACTGACCTGAAGGAGACACATTAAGGCTTAAACTTCGCCTGAGCACGTTCCTAAGTTTTGTAGGATCGTCGCTCTTTGAGGCCTCTTCTGCCAGTGTTTCCAGCCTTTGTAAGTCGCTGATAGTAAGCTGTGGCGCATTTGCAAGAGGTGTGCGATTTGGGCGCGAGGGGACAATCTTCTCATCCTCGTCCTCGACCTGGTCATTCTCTGATGGCTTATACTGCCTGCTGAGCATTGAACGTTTGCGTCCCAAACCTGTGGAAGGAATGCTCAAAGAATTTGATCGAAGAGGTCCAGAGCCGCCATCTGGGGGCGGAGTACGTGCGTGTTCCTTGAGAAAAGCGCTAAACTGGCCCGGATCGATTTCAGGATGAAAACGAGCTGGCACCCAGAAAAGATGAAAAGGATCATCTAAGCCCACGCTTCGCTCCTCTGAGCTAGAGCTGCCTTCGTGAGAGCTGCTGCTGGAGTCACCATCTGGTAACTGCTGAGGCGCAGTGGCAGTCCAGTAGCTGGATGTTGGTGAGGGTGGAGACGATGGGTTCGGAAGATCAGGATCAAGAATAAGAGCACCTGGACCGCCTTGTGCTGTAGAACGCCGCTTTATGTCTCGCAAAGCCTCGACCTCGCGCTGAATCTCCAACTGTGAGGGCTGCATGCCTGGGAGAAGCGGACGTCAAGAAGAAAAAGAGTGTCAGTAAGATAGCGCGGTCGTCGTGAACAGTGCTCGGACGTCGAGAAGGTTGATGATGAAAGCCACTAGTAAGAAGAGTGGCCGAAGTTGCCTTGCGGTGGTATAAATTTAACGCTTGCCAAAGCTCTTTGGCGCGGCAGCTACGGCATGTCATCAAACTGAGTTCAAACTGGCTCAAACGTGTTCTTCCAAGGCTACAAGATGATTACGCTCGATACGCTCAAAACAAAGTCAAATTACATATCAAGCCCTATGTCTGCTCGAAGGGCGACCTCAGTAGGTTATATGTGGCACAACTGCTTGGAGACTCTGCTTGATCAACCACGATAAAAAAAGACCTGGTACATGCATTCGGACCCGACGGCCGTCGGGCGTATGAGAACTCTTTTACGTCTTACTAACAATTCAACGCACATCAGAGTGTGCGTTCTGTGCAGTAGCTGTTTCACGACGCAGCTCCTGGATGACAGCCTGCATGAGTAATTGTTAGTCCCAAATTGCTTTTAGATCACTCGGATACCAGCATACTGCAAGGGCCTCTGGGTTGACACCACTCTCGATCATACCCACACATGTCGCGAGCGTCTCCTTATCAAGCTGTGTATTAAGCAGCTGAGAGATCTCATAGAGGGCTGTGAACCGCATTCATGAGGGTTGTAATACGGCGCATGTGTAACTTCGATAACATACTGTCAAGGGTCTGCTGAGCAGCACTAATTCTGTCTGCCTCTTTAGACGACATGAGGTCAACGCCTGGTTGAAGATCGTTTAGATGTACCGCTATGACTGGATGAGAATTTTGACTTACGGGCCTCCTAGCTGAAGTTCAGTGGGGGAAAACACTTCCAAGGGACAGAAATCCCAGAAAGGAAATCAATATATTATGTTATCTCGCAGAAACATGATTGAGTCTGCAGCAGCCTCACCTCCGAGTCGAGTTCATGCCAATATGGCTCCCTCAAAAACACCCAAAAGCACCTCGAGGCCAAAGAAAGAAAAAGTCTTTCACCCAGACTCCCGCAAGGCCGGTCAGCTGAGCCGGGTCCAGTTGCGAAAAGCAAAACTCGCAGACGCAGCATCAAAGCGAACAAAGAAGCACTCTGCCCAGGGTGCGTATCCCATGTTGCGTTGATGTCACACATCTTCTCATGCGGTGAACCTCAGCCGATGTATACGGATTTTTCTACCATGCAATACCTCCAGAAGGCACGCTCTCCCTCGAGGAGCTACATTCCATCATTAGTAATGTGTGGTTAACACGCCATGACGATGAGCTCAAGCAGGAGAGAGCTGCTCGCCGCAAGGGCCGACCAAAAAGTACCAAGGAGTTGAAGCTGGAGGAGATCAAGCTCCGTGAATCAGAACAATACCGCACAGGAATGGGTAAGATTGATTTGTTCATACTGCCTTGCCTTTGTTGATCATATTGCGCAGATGTGCCTGATCTTACACATGAAGCTACCGTCAAGCTATTCCGCAAATGGGATCAGACGGAAGTTGCTTACATCCAGCTTCTACGTTTCATCCGAATCAGCAGTGTAGATCCTACGTCTGCAGTCATATCAAAACAAGGGGAACACCATTCCCTCAAAGAATCAGTTCCTCCGCAAGCCATCGATGAAGCCATGGTCACTGATCGTGATGACACGCTCCTCATTGAACCGCCATCACGGTTCGCAAGTACAATGATGATGATGGATGGTCCACTTCCATAGCTGAGACACAAAATTTGAATACCAATGTTGGCGGTATCTAATGTAAAATTATTTTACATGTTTCACAGATTGTACCAGTAAGCTAATCAACGTACGCCAACCTCTCGCTAAATTCGTACCCTCCCATCTCGGTTTCTGTGGGGCTGAAAAGTGGGCTATTCGGTGTCATCAGCATTCGTGGAATGTCCAACTCCCAGTTCCTTCTCAGCCTTTGATAAATTACCTGGAAGCTTGATAACGTGCCCCTTTCCTGTATCAAGTGTAGTACAACCTGACATCCAGCAGTGATTTGCACAGGCGTCGGCCTCTGCACCTCCACGCGGAACCGCACTGACTTCAGCGCTGGCAGAAATCCGGATAGATCCTTCGTATCATCTGTTCTGCACTTGAGCACACCTGAATGTTCCGCATGCGTGAGGACTACGCAGACGCCCATGTTCACCAGCATTCGATGGCACTTCTCGCGTGATGTGAACCCGTCATGCGTGGACAGAAGCTGATACGTTATTGGCTTGAACTTGAAAACACTATCAAGCCAACGCCGCGGCGTCCCGGGAAGAGTGAACTGTCAGAAAACGCAGGTGAGACGGCGGCCGCGGTGTCGCCGCTGCCCTTCTTGCGTAGCTTGTTGAGCGGTAGCTCAATGATTTGCACACGGAACGCAGGCCGTCTGTCAGCATCGTCGCTCCGCAGAGATGACTTCTTGACGATTCCGGGTCCACCGTCACTGAGAGATATATTCTCCTTTTCGTCGTTCGCGCCTTATATCCGCGTCGGATATGATCTCCTGGGGAGACGAATAGCCTATGGTCTGCACGATGTTGCCTTTCCGATGCTTGTCAAATTCGATATTGACAGGTGTGGGTAGAGCTGAGGTGTTTCCAAGATCAAGATGGGGTGTGCCTGCAGTGCGCGCCTCCATTGCATTCAGATGTTCCACAATTTGCTGGAAGAAATGCTGCATCTTATCATCCTTGAGTTCCGGGACTTCAATCGCGGGCAAATTTTTAGAACCAGCCGTGGGTGATAAGGGCGATGTTAGAGATGTAATATATGATGACAGAGGAGAGCGGAGATCAGCCCCTGGACGTGGCGGTGTCGGTGAACACAGAGTTATACGAGGAGCGCCTAGTTGTATGCAGTCTCTATCACTATCATCGCTGTGCAGGGGAAGCGTGCGACCAGCTGCCCTACGCGGGGTCGGAGGAGCTGCGCGAGGAGGAAGAAATGAAGGCGCGCGTGTCAGGTGGGGTGTTTGGGATGTGGTCCCAGTCATGCCCTGAGGGTCATTCCCAATTGATTTCGTCGTGTCATTCTTTGCACCATCTCCTCTTCCTCATCGTAATCTTCCAAGTGATTGTCCCGATAATTGGTGAGCAGTCGGTAAACGCCTTTTTGCCAGTTTGGCTCGGAGCTCTTGAGGCTAGCTTTGATGTCTTCCTCGGATGTATCGTGCCAAAGCGTGCGGAGGTTCGCGAGAATATCTTGGTCAATGTCTTCAAGGTCAGAGAGAGGTCTTGCTATATCATTGAGCCTCGGCGTGTTCGCGTCCACAGACTTTGGCTCTTGGGAAAGGTAGAATGGGTGAGTGAGGATTTCAGGGATCGTGATGCGCTTCACAACGTCCTTCTGCAGCATCTTTGTGATAAGATCATTGGCCAGGAGATCAATCCCAGCTGGCATATCAAACTTTCCCGACTTGACTTTATCTAGCAGTGTTGGTAGGTCCTCATCATCGAACGGAAGGCGTCCCACAAGCAAGGCAAATAGAATCACGCCACAGGACCAGATATCAGAAACGCGTCCATTGTACTCTTTCCCCATGATGACTTCCGGGGCCGCATAATGAGGGCTTCCACATGCCGTATGAAGTAATCCATTTTGGGACCTGGCCTGCCAAGCAGCCATACCAAAGTCTGCGACCTTGATGTTCTTGTTTTGGTCCATGAGAAGGTTCTCAAGCTTAAGCTTGAGATCTCTATGGGCAATGTTGAGTTGATGGCAATAGTCGATTGCGGAGATGATTTGCTGGAAGTAGCCCAATGCTTCGAAGGTGGATAGCCGTCCCTTGTTGCACAGATAATCGAAGTGCTCGCCTCCCTCTACGTACTCAAGAATAAGATAGAGCTCGCTGGAGGTCTCCCACACGTCATAGAGGCGCATTATGTTTGGAATCTTTGGATGGTCGATGAGCTTCATGATCACGATTTCACGTTCAATGCTGAGAAGCATATGCTCCGCGGAGTCGACAAGTTTGGTGATAGAGTTCATGAGGATGTTTTAGACACAATCTTTACAGCGGCATATTGACCTGTTTTTGAATGTCGTGCGATCCTTACGCGGCCTAGTTGGGATCAGTAAAATCGCATGGTTTGCCAGCAACCCAGATAGATACCTGAGCTTCCCTTGCCAATAGTCCTTCCGACCTTCCATAGTCCAATCATCTTTGGGTCATCCCCGCTACGATTCCGCCGCGGAAGCCTTGGATAGTCATTGTCCATAGTGGTTAGTAAGGAAGATTAGGCTGACAGATTTTCGGGCAAAGAGTAGCCAAATAGAAACAAATAACACGTGAGTCACGCGTTTTGTCTTTCTTGCCGCCAACCTCCACCATCCCCTGACACCACAAGGCCTTGCTGTTGAGAGGATCGGGGACATCGGAGTAGGAATGAGAGGTACGAGCGAATTCGATGTACCTGCGTGTGACGTCGGCCGAGCCTCGCATTCGAGTATATTTCAGACTTATATCTTTTCTCTCCAAGTTTTACCGCATCATAAAACAAATCAGCTAGCCGTTCGAGCATCTCAGTCCATTTCAACGACTGAGATGTACATGCTCATTATTTTACTTTCTATATCTCAAAACTAACAAAGTACATAGTATCTAATTTGTTCTAGGTACATACTCAATGTACATGAGTCCGTTTCAACGACTGAGATTATCTACTTTGTTCTAGCTCGAACTCCCCATGTGCGCTTGTCTCCACTCACTATAGGTTATGAGCCCTGCTGCAGTTCGCTAGAATAGTTTAGAGTCTCAGCGAAGGTGTTAAAGCAACACTATATTGTGATGTACCTAGAATAGTTTAGAGTCTAGGTATGAGTCAGTGTGAGATGTTGCTACGAGCTACAAGACGACATACCTCAGCGAAGGTGTTAAAGCAACACTGAGGTGAAAACAAACACAGGACACGTATATGTACTGTATGTTACATAACCATCAGCAGCCACTGATGGGAGTCACAATACTGTATAGTATGTATGTATTTGGTGAAGAAGGTGCCAATAAGAGAAACGGAGTAAACACGAACACACCCCCTCACCGAGTCACCAACTGAAGACCGGTGGTATGTTTCAAAAACAAAGGACGCAGGAGAGCTTTTGTGAAGATGTCCGTGGTGTTGGAGTGGGTGGGAAGCCACTCGGGCAAGAAAGTACCACGTTCGATGTGGCCGCGGATAAAATGGTAGTGCACGTCAATGTGCTTGGAACGGATATGATTTTTGGCCTCTTTCGAGAGGGAGATGGCGCCAGTGTTGTCGATATAGATGACGATGGGCACAGCAAGCGCGAGATGAAGTTCATTGAACAAGGACCTGAGCCAGAGCCCCTCCTGGATAACGTGAGTGACTGCCATATATTCGGCCTCGGTCGAGGACAATGCGTGAGTCGACTGCTTTTTAGATGCGTGGGCGATGAGCCCCCCGCGTAGAACCATGCATACCCGGATATGGACAAGCGGTCCTCTGGGCTACTCGCCCAATCTGCATCGCAATAGGCGTGCAGCGGCTCGTGGACATGGTGAAGGTTCAACGATACTGAGAGGAACAAATGATGCTCCTGACTGTATCTATAAATGTTGTAAGGTCGCACGTTGCCTAGTCTGCTATACTTGAGACAACAAGTGCGTTCAACCCTAAAGGGGAAGCGAGTGCAGCATCTAGTAGTAGGTGCTGAAGGTGCTACTGATTGGCTGATGCGAAGCGTGGGAAAGCGCAGGCGCGTATACAGAGATAAGAGATGTAAGTGCTACTTTCTAGGGAGAGATTCCAACTAAGCTGAGTTGTGAGGTATGAACATGGGGGTTTCTCAACTACTCTCTGGTATGTACTACTGGTGCTTATGTATGGCACCTAAGCGCTGTCATGCGGAGCCGAAGCGCTACCGAGTAAGGTATGTAAAGATATATGTAAGTAAGGGTCCATGATAAAAATAAAGGTGGAACGATATGCAAATGAGAGAAATGGAAATATACGCACTAGAGAACTTGGTGGACAGTGGATGGATGCGTCTGGATGGCTGGCGCTATAGGGCGCTCAAGCGCGGGAAAGCGCACGTGCATATACATCGTGAAGCGCGGGAAGTGTGCGCGGGAAAGCTGCACCTCATATAGGAATAGCTGCGGATAGCATGCAGAGTGATGCTACAAGTTCGTGCCATGTACTCCCTAGTGAAAACTGCCATATCACACAATGTGAGGCACGAGTCTCTACAACGGTCACCCCCATAGCTCATGCGCAGATTCAAGGTGCCGGCGAGATAGCGAAGCAGCCTCTTGCCAGCAGCATAGTGCGCCAAAGAGGGATTCGCGCTGTGTTGCGCAAGAGCGTTGATAGCATAGGAGATGTCGGGACGTGTGCAGATGGACAGGTATAAGAGCTTGCGATAGCGAGTTGGAAGATTGGCAATGACAATGGGGACATCAGTAGGGCGGCCAAATGGGTAGTTTGCATTGAGGGGAAGGGTGACGGGGTTGCAGTCTAACATACCGTATTCTTCAAGTAGGTAGGTTATGTACTTGCTCTGGTGCAGCCAGAGACGGCGAGAAGAGCGGTCACGTTCAAACTGGATGCCAAGGATCTTGGTCACAGGACCAAGATCCTTGATGCCAAAACGCTCGTCGATCTTGCCCTTCACATACTTGAGGAATGCCGGGGAGTTGGATGTACCGAGGCCATCGTTGACGTGGAAGCCAATAATGCACACAACGCGAACAGTAGAGGTGCTGACGGTATGGTCATAAAGAAACACGGCGTGGTCAACAGCGCACCGTGTGAACCCCAGTTCCTCCATAACACTCCGGACTTGCTCGTACCACTCCATCGCCGACTGCTTGAGGCCGTATATCGTGCGTAGCATGAGCCAGACCAAGACTTTCCAGTCCCCCTCCTCAAATCCTTTCGGCTGACGCATGTATATCTCCTCTTTCAACACTCCCCACAGAAACACGCGCCGCGCATTGAAGCTATCCAGCTCCCGATCATTCTTGCATGCGATGGCCAAAATGAGACGCATGGACGCAGTCTTGAGTACCGGCGCGAAAGTAGCCCCATAGTCGATGCCAGGGATTTGCGAGAAACCCTGGGCCACGAGGTGAGCTTTGAAGACCGGACCCCCCTTGTTGTCGTCCTTGAACTCCAGGACCCAGTGATTGCCTATCGCTTTCCTTCCGGCAGGTAAGGTTGCCAGCTTGTAGACAGTCATCTCCTTCATGACGGCGAGTTCTGCGCACATGGCCGCGAGCCAGTGGTCCCGATCTGGCCGTAACATTGCCTCGTTGTAGGTCGCGGGAGGTACCTTCATGTCGTAGTCTGGGCTTGAAGGGTGGCGCTTGCAGTCACTGCGAATGGTAATGTGCGCCTGTTCCTCAATGACGACATTAGCGAGAACCTCAGGTATGTCCACGTTTGGCTCAATCTCAGCCAACTCCTCATTCATCTCAGCCGGCGCCTCGGCCCTTTCTAACTCACTTGGAAGGGCCACCCCCTCACATAGAGCTAACTCCGCTGTTTTGACAGTATGCGCGTCCCTGAGGGACTGCAGGCGGGCTTTGGACACTGCAATGTCCTCAGCAAACTGACGACCGGCCTCGGTTGGCACGCGCGCCCGAGATGAGCGACGTGGCGCTGCAATCTGGGCAAGTACAGGTGCTGGTGCAATGGGTGCAGGAGGGAGGTGGTGGTGATCAGCGGGAGCGTCAGTATCAGAGTCCGAATTGTGAGAGATAGAGAGGGTGTGTTCGTCGAAGATGACATCACGCGTGGTGAAGAACGCGCCAGTGACCTGGTCGCGAAGTCTGTAACCCTTGGTGCCCTCTGGGTACCCCATGAATAGCGCACGGCGCGAGTGTGGGCCCAACTTGCCCTGCAATTCAGATGGGATCCGTGCAAAGCACCGGACACCAAAAATGCGCAAGTGCCCCAGATCGGGCTTGCAACCATTGACGACTTCGAAGGGAGTGATGCCTGGAGGCAAGGTGGTGGACTCACTGTGGTTCCAGAGGTAGCACACCGTTAGCGAGGCTTCGCCCATAGGTTGGCTGGGAGATTGGCACCTTCCAGCATGGCAAAGAGGCGCCCTTCAATAGTTCGCATAGCACGCTCTGCTCGGCCATTCTGTTGATGGGCGTAAGGAGCAGAGAGTTGGCGCTTAATGCTGGCTGCGGCCAAAGCATCGCTGAAGGCTGTACTTATAAATTCCCCACCATTGTCCGACCTAAAAACTTTGACAGTGCGACCACTGTGATTCTCCCAACGTGCCTTGATCGTTTGCCAGGCCTCAAGAGCCTGATCCTTTGAGGCGAGCAACTGTAAGTTCAGTAAGTTGCTGTGATCATCAAGAAAAATCACGAAATGTAGTTTTCCGTGGGGAGTCATGACCGGGAAGGGGCTGCATAGGTCAGAATAAACCAAGTCGAGGAAGTGTGATGCTGGGTGCTTAGCCATGATGCAAGGCTCACAAACCTGCAAGGCAGTAGAGACATCAACCTTGACGCCTGTGGCAAATAAGGGCAAACACTTGACAGCGTCCGCGCCTGGATGTCCTAGATGAGCATGCCATAGGTTCCATGAGAGAGGCGTGCGGGAAAAAGCTGCAAGCTCAAGGTGAGGAGATGGCGGAGCACCTGGAGGGATGAATCGCAAGTCGACGAACACCAGGTTGCCGATCATGGGGATCTGGCCTAAGCACTCTCCGAGGTAACCGAGCTCGCAACGTGGAGGAGAAGGTTGGAAGTTGCAAGCCCAACCTTGCTTCAACATATGCCCTACCGACAACAAGTTCACCATCGCGCCTGGAGCGTGAAGGCAATTAGTAAGACAGAGTCGGTAGGTTTTCTTGTTGAGCGTCAGTTCCGCAACACATTCACCATGCCCCGAGGTTTGTAAGCTTCCGTGATTCGCGGTCTTGACTGTGACGGCAGAGCTACTGGAGAAGGACCAGAAGTAGTCTTTTGACATGATTAAGGTTGACATGGCACCCGATGAAGGTACAACAATTCAGATGGTGAGTCTGAACAATGTTGGGTCTTGCAGAACCTAGCTGCTATTCGACCCTAAAGGGTTTCTGGACCAGGCTCAAGGCTCAGAGGAGAAGAAATATCATGAAAACTTGCTGAGTACTCTGACTCCTACTGGTAACTGGTGAAAAGATAACTTCCTTATGTAAGCTACAAAAGTGCCAACATAAGGTAAGGTAAAAACAGTCTCTACAAGCCCAGCCAGAAATGAATCCCTACACCAAGTCCAGGATGGTGGAGAGGGCTTGATTGGCTATGCATGTGATGTCCTCGGAGCTAGGTGAGGCAAGAGGATCAATGCTATCGAGTTCCTCGATCATGGCGCACACCAACTGCCGAACTTTGTTTGACTTTGGATCTGGATTGGAGGGTGACGCGCTGGGGGAAGGCTTGCCTTCATTAGTGGCTGCGGCCACTTCTTTCTTTACTCGCCTGCCTCCATCTCCTCCCTTTTGAGCCCATGGTGCCTTTCCTTCCATGCCACCCCCTTGCTGATGACAATGTTTGCGATCGTGCGTGAGCGAACACGGAAGTCCTGATCAGGCAGCATTGTTGCATGGCACTCCCCACGGATTCTGTTTGTGAATGCGAACTTGAGTGACGGGGTTGACTTTGGACGGTTGTGTAGGGAAGGAGTTATGAGTGGCAGGACTGGCATACTCTGATCTGGGACGTGCCAAGTCACGTTCCCCGTGAAGACGATTGGCTTCTTCTGACAGCGATGCAGCAACTTCGCTGAAAGTAAGAGTCACTGTTGCTGGGGGAGCTGTGGTGGTTGTGCTTGTGGATGAGGCGACGGGAGCAGGTTGTTTGTTGAATTGGCCAATGGTGAGCTGTTTGTACATGAGCCAGTCTGTAGACTTAGGTAGTCCGTGTAGAAGGAGGAAGACAGCCTCGTGTTTGGTGAAAGGAACTCCCATTTCTGCAAATCGTCAATGTCCGTTTTCGAAGATGCCGATGTACCTGGATGTGTCGTCGACATCTTTCAATTTTTCATTGAAAAGCTGCTCACGAAGTTCGAACTGTGAGGTCATATCGAGGCGACTAAAATGATTTGCAAGGATGTCCCATTGCTGACGCGCTGTCAATGACTCATCTAGGAGTGTCTGAACGACCGGCGACAACCTCCGGCATATTATTCCTTTGGCTTGGGCATCTTCTTTGATCCAGTCGATTATCTCCTTATTTTCTGCGGTTGTTGGGGCTGCAGGAAGTGCAGGTGTGGGCATGACCAATGCGAGGTCAGCGAAGTTGTTGGGGTTAGTGCCGGAACTGCAATGGTTCCACAGTCCGTCACCTTGCAATGCTAAGGTTACCATTCGGCGCCAGCTTGGGTAATCATCAGATCCGGTGAGCTCGATAATATGATCGTATTTTCCCATGATACGATTGAAGTCGTTTGAGAGGGTTCAGAGCGGATAATTGTTTTTGAAATTCTTGAGCGAATCAGCCGTTAGATGATCGTGAGTTACTGGAAGATTAAATCTAAATCTAGCGAGATAGTTGAGCTTCGTCAGAGCTCAGGGCTCATAACCAGTTGCTAGAATAGTTTAGAGTCTCAGCGAAGGTGTTAAAGCAACACTATATTGTGATGTACCTAGAATAGTTTAGAGTCTAGGTACGAGTCAGTGTGAGATGTTGCTATGAGCTACAAGACGACATACCTCAGTGAAGGTGTTAAAGCAACGCTGAGGTGAAAACAAACACGGGACACGTATATGTACTGTATGTTACATAACCATCAGCAGCCACTGATGGGAGTCGCAATACTGTATAGTATGCATGTATTTGGTGAAGAAGGTGCCAAGAAGAGAAACAGAGTAAACATGAACAGCTGCAGCTACAATGGACACAACGCTCCCCAACTCCAACTCTGCACTGTTCAACGTCCCGAAATTAGCTGAGGATGGATCAAATTGGATCACGTACAAAGAACGTACCTTGACAGCAATTGGAGCATGAGGTATGATGCGTTATGTGGATGGCCACACTAGAAAACCTGCTCTGTTTGTAGTAGACCCTGAGAGTGGTCTACCCGAAACGGAGGATGGGATGACGCCTACTGAGGAAGAGATTGAGGCATTAGATAAGAAATTGGACGAGTTCTATCAAAAGAACTCACTGGTAAAGCAACAGATATTCAGCACAATAACGGATAGACTCCTTCTCCATGTGCAAAAGCTTGAGCTCGCATCCAGAATCTGGGCCGAAATCTGTGATATCCACGAGGGTAAAACTGAGTTAGTCCAAATTGACTTACATTTGTTGGCATTCAACTTCGATACCATAATTAGATTTCCTTTTTCATATCGGACTTTATACGTATAGCTTATAGTTTCTTTGTCTTTGTCTATTTGTACCTCAGCATCTTGATCCACAATGCTGAGGTATGTATAATGTTTCCTACACACCGTTCTCGTCTCATTACTTTTCATCTTTAGATCTTGTTTCTAGGTACTTGCAATGTTAGTGTCTTGATCCGCAACACTGAGATCTTATTTCTAGTTTCAGCATCAACAGGTTATGAGCCCTGGTTCACTCTGAACCCTCACATGAAACTATTGAATGGAATCTCTATCTGCGTTTGCCCGCTGAAGGTGAGGAATCTTGACTGTGGGTGAAAACACTAAAAGAAGGGGGCTCTACAGCAAGACCTGGATACGAGAATATGACTCGACCCAAAGGACAGCTACTGAGAGAAGTTCCTCGCGAATAAGGTGGAGGGAAACTCTGTCAACTAGACGGGCACTGGGAGGCGCAAGAAGATAACGCGCACGAAGGCGCGCGTAAGCGATACGAAGGCGTGCGTGAGCGATGCGATGGATGTCATGCATGGTATGTGATTCATACCATGTCAGATATATATAGAGAGTGATAAGGAAGATATGAGAGACTGTCTAGCCCTCTGTCACTGAGTTACCTCTCTATTTTTTTCCTCTATTTCATTGTCTTGTATTTTATTTCTCAGACTTATTTTACCTTGTATTTTTATGAGCATGTGACCTTCTGTTTATTTCTCATTATTTATTTTTATTTGGCTTCTTTCAGCCACAGATTTGTTTGTCAAAGTTTTGTATCTCTTTGTTTATGTCTGACTGTTTACTTTTATTTGGCTTCTTTCAGCCACCAGATTTTATTTGTCATCACATCATGTGACTGGGAAATAATCTGGTTTGTAACATTATTAAAGCTGATTCAACATGTTTAGTCATGATTGGTCATGCTTTGTAACAATATTTAAACATGACTCAACATGTTCAGTCATGGTTGATCATGCTTTGTAAGTTCTTTGTAAGACACTGAACTTTGTTTGTAATGTACTTAGTAAGAAGGATGATTCAGCTCACCCAAAGGCTTGGTTTGTCAGCTTCTGCATGACCAATCCCTGAGAAGAGTCAGCACCTTTTTGTCATGCTTTGTAATTTCTTTGTAAGATTACACAGTATTTATAATGTATATTAGTAAAAGCTGATTTATCACCTGGTTTGTAAGCCACATTCTTACCAATCCATCTGACAGAATCATGCTTAGTAAGGGGATTCCAAAAGGTATAAAAGGACCCCATTTTCACCCATGAAATATAACTTCCCATTTTTCATTCTTCTCTCAAACTGTGTGAGAGTACATAAGAATAAAAGTGCAGGCAACGTGCCTTGAAGTAAGACTAAGACACATCATTATTCTATTCTAAAGTTATATACTACCTTACAGGGGTTGACTATATAACTTTCGTTATCGTTATTCTACTCTAGGTTATATACTACCTTACAGGGGTTGACTATATAACCATCGAACAGCTCTCATTCTAAGCTTTACGTGTATACATAAGACTCTCTCTTTCAACGGAAAGTGAGACACATATCTAAGGACGACAAAGTTGAAACAGACTTTCATAGGTTGAAACACGACCTACTAGGCTGAAACAAACCTAACGAATTTATCCAGAACACAGAACATTCCACAACACTTCGTATCAGACTACACAAGAAGAGGACAACAAACTAAATCCTCCCAAGAACTCACCACGTTACCTCCCACGAAGTAGAAAAGTCAGAGACCGTGGACTTAAGGACTGGCAAGAAGTCTTCCCTGTGTATAATTGTGTTGTCATTATACACAACTTTTATATAAGACCCTTAAGTAACAAGACAGCGCGAGATGCGAGGGGCGCGCGCATATGCGGAAGCGCACTTATGAGCGATAAGGGATGTGGTTTCAAGTATAGTGGAGGCGTGAGCTGTAGCAGATAGAGAGTATAATCTGATTTCAAGTACTAAGGTGCACTATACAACTTGCAGTATACTGAGATAAACAGGGGGAAAAGTAGTAACCAAAGTAAAAAGAACCTCCCTCTATTTAAGAAGGGAGATAACGCTATGCGGCGCTTCCGAGCGCGGTACCGAACCGAGTAACCATATCAACTCTAAATATATTCTAAGTCTAAGATAGACTTTATGTATGTAAGCGCGGGGATCGGACCGAGTGTATGTCAATTCAGTGAAAGAGATAAAAATAATGCACCAGTAAATCAGTGAGGACATAGGACGGATGGACAGACGGGTAGGCGCGTGAGGACCTAAGGGGAGGCGCACAGACGCACGCGAGTGCATATAAGGCGCGCGCGTGGGAGCACGTATGACTGATCCTTCGGGTAAGAGCTGGAACATGTAAGGAATATGTGGTTCATAGGGCCGTATGTCAGGCATTGAGAGGCGCGAGTCTCTACACCGCCGCTCTTATAATCAGTCTTATCATACCTCTTCACCGCGGCAGCATCACTATGGGAAAATTTGATCACATCCCCGAATTGTTGGGATCAGAGAACTACGTCGGATGGTCGATGAAGATGCAGTATGCGCTTGCATGCGAGGACCTATGGTACCACATCAATACAAATCCCGATCCTACAGATATTCTTGGAATTCCTTCTTTCATGCCTGTTCCTGCTGATCCGTTGAATATCACCGCTGCCGAGCAGACTCTCAAGCATGAATGGCTCCTAAACGACATTAAAGCTAAGGATCTCATCACACGTCGTGTCAGTCCCTCCGTTGGAGCATTAGTGTCATGGTGAAGGTTCAACGATACAGCAAGGCACAAACCAGGCTCCTGACTGTATCTATAAATGTTGTAAGGTCGCACGTTGCCTAGTCTGCTATACTTGACACGACAAGTGTGTTCGACCCTAAAGGGGAAGCGAGTGCAGCAAGGATCTAGAAGTGAGTGCTCTTGGTTGACTGATGTGAAGCACGGGAAAGCGCAGGCGCGCGTGAGGCGTGAAGGTGTGGGAAAGTGCGCGCGCATATATAGAGATATGAGATGTAAGTGCTACTTTCTAGGGAGGGATTCCAACTAAGCTGAGTTGTGTAGTGTGAACATGGGGGTTGCTAAACTACCTTCTGGTATGTACTACTGGTGCTTATATATTGTGCCTAAGCACTGTCATGTGGAGCCGAAGCGCTACCGAGTAAGGTATGTAAAGATATATGTAAGTAAGGGTCCATAATAAAAATAAAGGAGGAACGATATGCAAATAAGAGAAATGGAAATATACGCACTAGAGAGCTTGGTGGACAGTGGATGGATGCTTCCAGATGGCTGGCGCTATAGGGCGCACATGTTGTGCATTGCATGGGAAAGCTGCACCTCATATAGGAATAGCTGCGGATAGCATGTAGAGTGATGCTACAAGTTCGTGCCATGTACTCCCTAGTGAAAACTGCCATATCACACAATGAGAGGCACAAGTCTCTACAGCGGTCACACACAGTAACATCCCGCAAGGCATGGCAAACACTGGCGGAACACTTTAATCACACGGACACCAGCATCCAATACCAACTTCATCAATGACTTGACGCCTTATACATGAAAGACTCGGCAGATGCTACTGACTACGTCAGACAACATGCAGTTCTTTGCGAACATCTTCATGACTCTGGTGCTACACTACGTGATGGTGATGCCATCTACAGCTTATTGATTGGGCTCCCACAAACACCTATATGGCAGCAGTTTAAATCTATGCTAGAACAGTGTATGCACAATGAAGTCATGACAGCAGCGGTGGGTACACCCTCACTCTTCACAGTTGAAAGCTGTGTGTCTTGCATCACGGCTGAGGCTGCACGACATGTGCACACCAAAGCCATTCATTCTCGCCCAGGCTCCAAGTACACTAATGTAGCCTCCTCCAACTCAGCTCCTCCCAGTACCAATCCAATCACCGGTCTTCGTGCATCGACACAACCCTGATGGTGTCTTTTGCACCACGCCGGGTTGCAACAAAGGCGACCACGACCACGCACACTGTTACAGTAAGGGGGGTAGAATGGAGGGACAAGCACCCTGGATGAAGAATAAGAAGAGAGAGATGCCTGTT